CATTGTGTTCTGTATATATCTCTCCGTCTTCAACGTTTCACAAAACTGATCTTCAAGCTCTATATGACCAACTCCCGAAGCCCTGTATTATTATGGGAGATTTAAATGGGCACAACCCACTCTGGGGTAGTGTCAATACAAACGCTAAAGGTAAACTACTGGAGGAGTTTTGTTCAGACAATGATTTATGTATTTATAATGATGGTTCCAACACGTATTTACACCCTGGTACACGAACCTATTCTGCTCTCGACTTCAGAATTACTAAATGAATTTGAATGGTCAGTCCATGATGACCTATGTGGAAGTGACCATTTTCCTACAATACTAAAACCTGTAAACCCAACTGATATTACTCCATATTCGAGATGGAGCTTTAAAAAAGCTAACTGGCCGTTGTATCAAGCTCTGTGTTGTAGCAGACTTAAACCCGAACTCTTTATAGAATGTACTGATCCTATAAAGGATTTCTCTGATGAACTAATTAATATTGCTGATGAGTGTATCCCCAAATCCTCTGCAATTCCACACATACGAAAACCATGGTTCAACAATGAGTGCAAACAGGCTAGGGAGGCACGGAAGAAAGCTGAGAATTATTTCCGTCGCCATCCTATCGTCCATAATTTGAATACATTTAAAATTTTAAATGCTAAGGCACGGTGTACCTTCAAGCAAAATAAACGTCAATCCTGGCGAAATTATGTATCACAAATAAATTCACGAACGCCGATATCAAAAGTATGGAATATGATCCAGAAAATAAAAGGTAAGGGTTCTAAATCTAGCATTAAGCAACTTAAAGATGGAGACGAATTATTAACTAGTCAATCTGATATTGCAAATAGACTTGGAGAAACTTTGGCCAAACACTCTTCCTCATCGAATTATTTACCTCAATTCCAAAATTATAAAAAACAACAGGAAAAGAAAACTATTAATTTCATTTCAGATAATGGGGAAGATGACAATGAACTATTTTCTATTCATGAGCTTCATACTGCTCTTGATCAAGCTCATGATACGGCTACAGGTGCTGATAACATACATTATCAGCTCCTGAAACACTTACCGGATTCATGCTTAGAAACCCTTTTAAACATTTTTGGTATGATATTTGGACTTCTGGACAATTTCCTTCTTCATGGCACGATGCTATTATTGTACCCATCCCTAAACCTGGACGTGATCATACTGATCCTTCGAATTATCGACCAATCTCATTAACTAGCTGCGTTTGCAAGACCATGGAGCGCATGATAAATAATCGACTTGTGTGGTACTAGGAAACTAATAACCTTATAACAGACATTCAATGTGGTTTCCGTAAAAACAGAAGTACTATCGATCATTTAGTGCGTTTAGAATCCTTTATTAAAAATGTCATCATTAAAAAACAACATGCAGTGTCGATCTTTTTCGATTTAGAAAAAGCATATGACACCACATGGAAACATGGTATTTTAAGAGATTTACACGATTTTGTATTGAGAGGCCGTTTGCCTCTTTTTATATCACAGTTTTTAACGGACAGGCAATTTCAAGTTCGCGTGGGTTCTACCCTGTCTGATCATTACAATCAGGATCAGGGTGTCCCACAAGGCAGTATTTTATCTGTCACACTCTTTAGTATTAAAATAAATAGTCTGTCAAAGGTTTTTTAAGTGATTCAATCGATGGATCTCTTTTCGTGGATGATTTTAATATTTCTTGCCGTGGTAAAACATGCGAACTATTGAGAGACAATTACAAATTTGTCTCAACAAAATTCATAAATGGTGTCTTGAAAACGGGTTTAAATTTTCGAAATCCAAAACCAACTGTCTACATTTTGTAGGAAATACAAACCCCATAAAGATCCTGAATTATCATTAAATGGCACACCCATCAAAGTTGTCAAGGAAGCTAAATTCTTCGTCTCATCTTTGATTCGCATTTAACCTTTCTGCCACATATCAAAATCTAAAAGCCAAATGCCTGAAGGCACTCGACTTGTTGAAAGTCGTTTCCAGTTCAAAGTGGGAAGGGGACCAAACCACCCTCCTTCATTTATATAGATCACTTTTCCGATCGAAACTTGATTACGGCTCTATCGTATATGGTGGGGCCTGTAAAAGCAACCTCAAACTACTTGATTCTATCCATCACCAGGGTCTAAGACTTTGTCTTGGGTCTTTCAGAACCTCTCCCATTGACAGTCTCTACGTTGAGGCCGATGAGCCATCTTTAAAACTTCGCCGTATCAAATTGTCCATACAATATATCACAAAGTTATATTCTAATGAATCCAATCCTGCTAACACTTGCGTTTTTAATCCTCTTTATGAGGACTTGTATAATAAAAACCCTTCACTTGTTCCACCTCTTGGGATAAGAATCCAACAATATCTTTCTGCTGCTGGCATTGAGTTGGAGAATATATCTCCTTCCCGTCTTCTTTCTTCTCCTCCTTGGCAATTAGTGAGGCCACAAGTTGACGTAACACTGACAAAGAATAACTATAATACATACAAATCCTTATTTACAGATGGGTCCAAGGGTGGTGGCGCAGTGGCATGTGCCACTGTCATTGGATCCACAACAATATCTTCTAGAATACCTGATAACAGCTCTATATTTACAGCAGAAGCAAACGCCATCTTAACAGCTCTTAAATATATTCAAAGACATCCCAAACATAAACAATATATAATATTTTCTGACTCTCTTTCTTGCCTTCGGGCGATTAAAAATCTCTCTTGCAAACATCAACTTTTAATTGAAATAATCGAATTATATAATGATCTTGCTACTGGCCAATGCGACATCGTCTTTTGTTGGTTACCCAGCCACGTTGGCATTTCTGGGAACACAAAGGCTGATCTTTTTGTCAAGGCAGCACTCAACAAATCTGTGACACCACTTCTTATTCCATATTCTGATTATAAAGCTGGCATTAGAACTTACATCCGTGATCTGATGCAAAAGAAGTGGGACAACCAAGTAGGTATCAATAAATTTCATGCAATAAAACCCTATATCGGTTATACCTACTTTGGTAGTCAGTCCAGATTTGAAGAGATCATCATGCGACGATCTCGTATTGGCCACACTAGATACACTCATGCATACCTATTGAAAGGTGAGGGTCCTCCGTTTTGTATCCCTTGTGATGAGAGAACCACGGTCAAGCATGTCCTGCTTGACTGTGTTGAATTCTCCATCATAACGGGTAAATACTTCAATGTGAAAACAGTTAAGGATCTTTTTAACACTGTTAATTTTCATTTAATTATTGGCTTTTTAACAGAAATTGATTTAATGAATGAATTTTGATTAATATGTTCTGTACAAATATGTATTTTAATTATTGGTAGATTTGATTAGTAACTTCGATTGTGAGTGGCAGTGCCCTCAAAGGGGGTTGAAGTAGCGTAAAATTATTGTCCTCCTGAGAGGGTACGTAAGTCCCAAAACATTCAAAGTAAATTTAAACCTACTACTCTTTTAATCGTAGAATATATGTTCGTTTAGTTTATGGCTAGATTATCTAACATTGCTAATAGCTGAGGGGATGGTGTAAATCCAGCTAGGGTCAATGCAGGAAGCCAATGTACTGTAAGTCCCCATGGTCCCTAGTATGGTGATCTACCTTCAGTTGTCGGCAATATATAGCCGGTTTTTACCTTGTATTGTCCTATAGTTAGACTGTTTTAGATTTTATTGCTAGTTTTAAATTCGAATCTGTGATAATCTAGTTATTTTACTGTCCTTCGTTGACAGGTTTTTATAGTTTGCCATTGCATATTATGCATAAAATTAATTGTTCTCGTCACGATATGGCTGAAATATTGCCGATGTGACGTTAAATTTTAACTCACTCACTCACTCACTTGGAGTCATAATTAGAAAGGTCAAAGACGAATACACACATGCCTTGGCTAAGTGACAGCTGACGCAACTGCCACATATCATATCGTCCAAACAACGTGTACCTTCAGTATTCGCATCTTAGAGTGCGTAGATAAGTACAAATGTAACTGACAGTATGTTTCGATACTTTGAATGAATTAAGGAGCATGTACCTGCTATCGTATCAAGTTCGATCACAGCATCAACAGACCCTGCGTCATTACAAACCCCTGTTTTCTGATCACAAGCTACACAATCCCCACTGCATGTGTGCTGACAGTGACTCCCGTACGCCCCGTCCTTACACCCACGACTACAGCTACCGTCCACCTCACATACACCATCCAAACACCACCCACAAGCCTCGTCACATCTCTCTCCGAACCATCCATCAGTACAGGCTGAACACCGTCCATGGCGGTCACACACATTGTCTCTACAAAGCAGACATTTCTTGTTGCAGTGTTTCCCATAGTACCCTGGAACACAGCCCTCCACGCACGATCCATCATGACTGTAACACAGGGAAGACTTGCAGGAGGCACTACACGGGGTGTTACAGTGTAACCCGTGCCACCCAGTCTCACATCCTTCCTGACAAACTGCAGTATGTCGATCACAGTGCTTGTGTCCATCTCTTCCTTTGTAGCACTTCTTGGGGCACGTGTTACTGCATTGGTGTCCATGGTAACCTGGAAGACACTGTTCACATACCCCAGTCTGTCTGTCACAACCAGTGGTCCAGCAATGTGGACATCTATCTTCGCACTTCTGTCCATAGAAGCCTGCTTCACATCCACGTAGACAGTAGCCGGTGATGCTGCACCTTCCCATCAGACAGTTGTCACATGTCATGTTACAGAAGCCCCCTGCCCATCTTCCATCACACCCATCAAGACATTCTCCTGTCTGTATGTGACAGACTGATGCCTTGCAGTTGGGTGGACATCGTCCATCACAATGTGCCCCGGTCCATCCTCCACCACAAGATTCAGAACAAGCGCCTGTATGGCGGTGACAGTAGACAGCGCCACCTACCGGACTGCTGGAACATCGTGTTGGACAGGGTGTGTCGCAGTGTCGTCCATAAAACCCTGGCCTACATCTGAAACATTCTCCAGTGGACCTGTCACATCCGTCTCCGTCACAACGTCCTTGGCATGTAGAGCTGCACTTTGATCCGTGACACCCGGTGTTACATGACTGACATCTAAGACGACCATTCCCATGTCTACACCCAGTGGTGTTACATGAGTCGTGACTTGGGTGCTCTGAAAAAAATTATGTTGTATGTTAAAAATTAGAAGTGACAGAAAAAATAACCCGTATTGTATTTAGGAAACCATATGAATATGACAAATTTAATCACCACAAATTTCAGTTTCGTTTCATTTTTAATCCAATAACCATGGTGAATACAAATCCATTGCATCATTATATACGTGTATTTACCAAGAGAGTGTGTCACAGCAAGCAGGGCAGAGATCAGCACCACAAGCGACAGGATCTGTCCACCTTTCATTGTTCCAGGGGACACGTGATCTACTGATGAAAACAGATATAAGGATTAAAAGATAACTGGATTACCTGAAGTGAAAACAAGTTTGTTTCTTAACAAGCAATAGTGGACTAAGTGGAGAAGAACGCATGTTCTCTAACTACGTTACAAGTTGTAGCAATATCACAGATGTAGACATGGTTTTATGCGTCCAGTGGTAGGTTGTATACAATGTCTGCATGAAGACTTCTTTGAGAGGCAATAGAAGTCGGAGAACTAAGTACCTACCTGATAACGCTGTGGAAAAGCAGTACATACTGGTAACAGGCTTGTAAAAGGATTCCCATGGCAGGGTCTATTCCTGTTCCCATATAGGCACACTGTTACACTTGAGTGTAAGTTAGTTTTCCAAAAATAACGTATAGCAAAACTATGGAATCCTGTAAGGGACATTGTCGCGTTGTCGGCTTTGGTTAATTTTGCCTCATTTTGCATGATCAATATATCACTGGCCTACTTGTTGCGTGGAGGCTTTATTGTAGATTACACTCGCGAAAGCCCAAATTAATCTATACGACATTCACTGAGCAATTACCGTTGCTTAACATTATAAAATATATGTTTCACCTTATTGCGACCCTTTATAATGTAGTTCTCAAAAATCGTTCTCAATTACAATGACGTCAGAACCGTATGCGTGCGTGCGTGCGTGCCTGTATGTCTGTCCCTGTCCGCCTGTCTGTGTGCCCACCGCGCCTGTCTAATTGTCTGTGTGCCAACCGCGCCTGTCTGACTGTGTGCCCACCGCGCCTGTCTGTTTGTCCTCCGTGCCTGTATGTCTGTCTTTGTGCCCACATTGCCTGTCTGTCTGCCTGCCTGTCTGTCTGCCATCGTGCCTGTCTGTCTGCCTGCCTGTGTGACCACCGTGCCTGTCTGTCTGTCTGCCTGCGTGCCCACCTTGCATGTCTGTCTGTGTGCCCACCATACCTGTCTGTGTGCCCGCTGTCCCTGTCTGTCTCTGTGCCCACCGTGCCTGTCTGTCTGTGTGCCCACCGTGCCTGTCTGTCTGTGGGCCCACCTTGCATGTCTGTCTGTGTGCCCACCTTGCATGTCTGTCTGTGTGCCCACCGTGCCTTTCTGTCTGTCTGCCTGTCTGTGTGGCCAGCTTGCCTTTCTGTCTGTCTGCCTGTCTGTGTGGCCATCGTGCCTTTCTGCCTGACTGTGTGCCCACCGTGCCTGTCTGTCTGTGTGTCCGCCTTGCATGCCCACCGTGCCTTTCTGTCTGTCTGCCTGTCTGTGTGGCCATCGTGCCTTTGTGTCTGTCTGCCTGTCTGTGTGGCCATCGTGCCTTTCTGTCTGTCTGCCTGTCTGTGTGGCAAGTGTGCCTTTCTGCCTGACTGTGTGCCCACCATACCTGTCTGTTTGTCTATGTGCCCGCCGTGGTTGTCTGTCTGTCTGTATATGTGTATGTCCGTGTCCACGGAGGTAGGAGTAGGGATTTAGAAAGACTCCACTGATAAGACTACCTATAAAAAATCAGCTCGATATGTAAACCAACCCTGCGCCAGAAGTCGACGTCAAACCTGTAAAGTGACTGATTATGAAACATTATTCTTGAATGAAACAAAATTGTGTTAATTGGCACAAAAAGATTATATTATTTTATATTGTGATTAAAATATCTTACTGCAATGGAAAATTGTGACAGTTTATTTCATAGTATTTTAATTTCATTAATTGAATCAGTATTCAATACTTGAATATTTCTCACCTGTAAAGAATAGTCCTCCCACCACGATCGTTCATGAATGCGTATGTGGAAGGCAAGTGAGAATGTGGGTACAAGAAAGATGACCAAAGGGCTTATCAGCATGAAAGGTGGGGTTCAACGAAGCGTTCCAGTGAAGTCCTGATCAGCTGTCACGTTATATTTACAAACAGACAGGCGTTCCCGTGACGTTAAGCACACTATTTAACTAACATGCATACTAACAGCGGTGACCGGACAAAATCCAACCGGATGTGTGAAAATATATGCTGTTGTGATATTTATATATGTATTGATGCACGAATGAGTCATAAATGTGAAATGTGAAAATGTGCAACTGTCATATTTATATATGCAAAATGTTCTTTGGTTGTAGTTTTGGTTGTTTTTGTTATCGATTATGAATGACTGATATGAAAAAAAATTCATTTCTATTTTTTCTTAGGGTGGATTTTATTAGGGGTGGATTTTGTCCGGAGTGGACTTTGTCCGGGTGGATTTTGCCTTAGGTTGCAATTTTGAGGTGGATTTTGTCCGGGTGGATTTTGTCCTGGATTCACTAACAGCACACCATGACCCTCTCGTCTGACAACTCAATAATTTAATTTTAACATACGCACTCAGCGGTCTAGAAGCAATAAAAATACCTAAACTGACCATCGAAATACTGAAGAGCACTTAGGATTTACACACTTTCAAGGTAGAGTTTTTACGGATTCCTCTCAGGGTCAATCAGAGTAAATTCGGCACTTGAACTCCAAGAAGTGATGTAAACATATTTTTATTCATGAAGATAAATTGGAATTGGTGAACAAGCATTACTGCTTATGTTAACACCGCTCCCATGCAACGTATAATACAACATGAAATGGAGGATTTGACGTCATCGGTACTGACCATTGCATAAATATAATATTTTTAAATAAATATAAATATATACAGATTACATGAAATACAACTATTCTCTAAGCAGTCATAAGTTAGTACAGTTGTGTGTGTCTAACAAGCCATTGTAGAAATATAAATCAATCATGAGAAGGTTGTTGAGTAAATTTAATTATTTTCCTGAGAAAATTCGAAGCGTTGTGTCTTGGTTGTATAATCGTGGACGGATTCAACTATTTTCTAGTTTACACAGGGAGTGAGTTCTTTGTTTCCCTTAAGAATGGTATCCAGGTTATAACCGGTAGTTGAAAATTACATATTAAGCCTTATCCGAGTATAGTTACTTCAAGTGAGGAAATAGTGTAGGGCATTTTCACTCTGATGTCCACAAGAACAACATGGGCTGTATATTAAATGTCTGTTATACTTATCGGCGTTTAGGTCGCTACATCCGAGCCTGAGGCGGCAGTGAACGATCTGGCAAAAACGAGTGCCATAATTAAGGTAAAAGTAAATGTTATTTTCAGTTTTTGTAATTAGGTTTTTAAAGTCTGTGAGACTACGTGACTCTTTGGAATTTTTGATAGGGCATTCCATAAATTTATTGTGGCAGGTAAAAAGGATTTAGCATAAGAGACAGTGCTGTAGTTTGTAGTTCCGGAGACGGAGTTTGGGATCAGGTCACAAAGATATTTTGGCAATTGTGTTGTACTGTTTACACATGAACTGATGTATTGTAAAACAAATTCGTAACGTTGGAAAGATTATTGTCATGAGTTCAGTAAATGATGAAACTCAGTGAAAATTGGTGAATTCTTAACAATACTTTACACCAAAACGCAGCTGTCTGTCAGACCAAGCAGGAGCAACAACATCTGCGAGACTTGAAACAATTCTTTTAGAACTCTTGTAGATATCCGGTTTTCTGAGGACTTTCTTTCCACCAAAGCCTATCAAAATCTATGAAATTGATCTTCACCACCTAACAGGAGTAACATATCGACATATACTACCCATCAAAAGTTTAGACTCACTAGTGTAAATGTAGCCACTTTCTTCAATCAACTGTTCTGAACTAGATTTTGCAAAATATTCCATACTGTTTAAAGGGCTTAAGGTACTGTTTACACATGAACTGGTGTATTGTAAAACAAATTCGTAACGTTGGAAACATTATTGTCATGAGTTCAGTAAATGATGAAACTCAGTGAAAATTGGTGAATTCTTAACATAACTTTACACCAAAACGCAGCTATTCACATGCACGATATTTGCACATGCTTTTCAGCAATTTAATGATTGATCCTCGTGCAGTTCATCTGCATACGGTTTGCATTTGGTTCCCGCAAGTTAGTGGAGAAATTCATCTTCGATGTAACCTCATATATATACATAACATATAGTGAGTGCTTTAAGTGAGTGAACGTTTGAATGTAGTTTTGATTGAGAGCTATCGTGCCTATTCTGGGGTGTGGTCCTCTAAGACACGTGTATAATGTACATAATATACTGGACTAATAGTTGATATTTACACACACCATAAGCAACACATTTGCAACATATATACGTCACATGCACCAGAGGAGAAGATACTGCTGCCTATGTGTTCAGAAAATAAACTCAAATAATTGACGTGGTCATGGCAATATTCCAGCTACATGGCGGCGGTCTTAAAATATTCGGGTCTGGACCAGACAATCAAGTGATCAACATCATGAGCATCGATCTACGCAACTGGGATACGGTGACATGTCTCAACCAAGTCAGTGATGATATTTGGGTTGGTGCTTGTATTGCTCTTTTCTTTTGTTTTTGTATGTTTTTCTATGTTAGCACGAGTTGGTTATGGGGCAATATATGCGACGTAGAACGCCATGGCTCGTGTCGATAAGGAATATACCTGAGGCTTTGAAGGCTTGGGCTATAAGTTCGTAAGGTTAGGAGTGTTTGTAGTGTCAGGTATGTGTTTGTCTCCAGTGAACTCTGGAGCACCATTCTGTGTTGTTGGTAGGGTATGCTGGGTATTAGGACGGGTTCGGGGTTTCTGTTTCGTTGCAGTAAAGGCATTTGTCTGTTTGGTGTGGATTTTTTTATTTTATATAGATGGGTATAAAATTGTGTGTGACCTGTTTGTAATTTGGTTATCACCCTGTCATTATGTGTAGATTTGAGGTAGAGGTTTAGTCTTTAGGGTGTTGTTTTTAGTAATGTTTTAGTTTAAAATTTGAATTTTGGTACTTACTTCGCCACTTTTGGAAGTCTGTGCACGTGATAAAAAAGATCGTACATTTTGAGCGCTACTTCAATCCTTTTTTATCATTTATGATCCCTATTATATCATTTTCGCAAACACTGATGGTGTCATGTCTGATTGATGTCCGACGTCCCTGTGTGCCTGTCTGTCTGCCCGCCCGTGAGTCCACCGTGCCTGTCTGTCTGCCCGCCCGTGAGTCCACCGTGCCTGTCTGTCTGTGTGCCTGACTGTGTGCCAACTGTGCTTGTCTGTCTGTGTGCCAACTGTGCCTGTCTGTCTGTGTGGCCGCCTTGCCTGTCTGTCTGTCTGTGTGCCAACCGTGCCTGCCTGTCTGTCTGTTAGTCTGCTGTGCCTGTCTGTCAGTGTATGTCTGTGTTCGCAGGGGTAGGAGTTGGATTTGAGGAAGAGTCTACCGATAAACTTACATATAAAAAACACAGCTCGGTATGTAAAGCAGATGCCAGAAGTCGACGTGAAACCCCTAAATTGACTGATTGTGAAACATTATTGCTTGAATGTAACAAAATTGTGTAAAATGGGATAAACAGAAGATTTTAATACATACTGTGATTAAAATTATCATACACCATTGTAAACCAAAAGTCACTGTGTTCTTTAATCTGATTGGTTGAAAAACGTGATCAAATGGTATTTGATTCCCGGAATTCTCTGCGTATTAATACATACAAACATCGCTCACACCTTTGTATTGTTACGTCGTCAGCTGTGATGACATCATTAAAATCATATTGTGACGTAAAGTCCGAATGACGTCACAAATGAGCAGTTCCAGATGCTACCATGGGAGACAGCGGAAACGGCCGGCTGATGACATTTCACTGCTGTACCCGTACTTGATGTCAATGAGTGCAGACACAAAAAAACGTGTATGGACCTTTTGGTTTACTGTGGCATCCAGGGGGGTTAACCGACGTCAAGGGCAATCAGATAAAGGAGTATGGATAAATATGTCTCCAAATCCTGAGTTTTTCCGGGTACAGTGATCGTGACAGCCCTTACAGAAGTTGTTGAGAAACGAGGATACATGAGTCATACTGCAGTGAGTTCTTGCAAGTAAGATTGACATAATCAATATATATATCACTGGCCCGCTTGAAGTGTGTGTTCCATCGTAACTGAAGTTACGCTCTAGCTTAACGATGTACACAGGTACCTTGCCCAAAGCACTTGATGAGATATTCGCTGTTCAATTGTACAGTGTAGTTGCTTACCATTATGGAATGAATAGGTTTCTCCTTTTTCGCAGTCCTCCATAATGAACTACTCAATAACTTTCTCAGTTACAGTGACGTCAGATGCCTGTCTGTCTGTCTGTCCCCGGTGCCTGTATGTCAGACTGTCTGTCTGTTCGCCCGCCGTGTCTGTCTGTCTGTCTGTTCGCCGTGCCTGTCTGTCAGGCTGTATGTCCGCCCGCCGTGCCTGTCTGTGCGTTTTTCGTGCCTGTCTGTCTATGTGTCCGCCGTGCCTGTCTGTCGGTCTTTGTGACTGCGTTGTCTGTCTGCCTGCCCGCCTGCCCTGTCTGTCTGTCTGTGTGCCCGCGGTGTCTGTCTCCCTGTCCACCGTGTCTGTCTGTCTGTCTGTCTGTCATCCTGTCCATCGTGTCTATCCGTCTGTCTGTCCTGAAACACAGCAGCACCCTGTCTGATTCAAACGCCCATACACAACAGCCTAGTGCATGTGGAAGACAGACTCCCCTTGCAGCTTGTGGCAACTGGTCAAAGACAGTCATTGGCAGATGTCAATCGGTTCCGAGGGGCTTGGAGCACAACATATCAGTCATCTGCCCTTGATGTTTTTCTGGGTCTTCCAGAGCGAGGTCTGTCCTCTACTCTGCCAGTGGCCTGCAGCCTGACCTGACCTGACCTGT